TTCTCGGAACTATTTCAGTTTTAATCAACTGTCAGCAGGTACTGAACTGATATAATTATGGGAGAATGAAATTATATGTGATAATAGGAATATGTGATTATTCTTTTCAGGATGGTTTTGCTGTAAATTTAGTGCTTTGACGTTGCATCTCCCTTTTAAGGACTTGAATATAAAACTTTATATATACATTTATTAATCCAAATAAGTTGTACATAGTAATGAATGGGATAGATGAACACACTGGCATACAGTAGTTTTTATGTGCTGTTTAAAATTGTGCTCCCAGAGACCTTCGACTAGAACAGTGGTATTGGGCCTTTGTATTTCCAACTCTACCAAGGTTAATTCTCTTATACTAAAGTTTGATGAGAAAGTGTTTAACTTATGAGAAAACAAACTAAAAAGAGAAATCAAGGTACAAGTTTCTGGTCATGTTTACTTTGTGAAGCTCAATATTAATTGAAGAAAAACTACTCTAGGGAAGTGATCAAGGAGTAGATTTTTGTATAATGAGATAGCTACTTTCCATCTAATGGCAAAAGTGAACTTCAACTACAGATGTTTTTGTGCAAAAATACTTTGGGAGGGCCTGGGGATTTAGCTCAGCGGCATAAGCGCCTGCCTTGCAAGCAGGCAGTCTTAAGTTCGATCCCTGGTACCAATAAAAACGAACCCCCCTCCAAGCCCCCCCAAAAAACACTTTGGGAAACTTAAAGAGATCTAGTTGCAAAGTTGTTTCCAAAACTGAATCTAAAAATGGCCTATACTATGAGTGCATTTCATAGAAATGCAAGTTGAGACTTCATTAACGTGTCTGTTGTCTTTAGGTCTTTGCTAAATTAGTTTCCTTTAGTTTGTTGTTCATTGTATTTGCTACCAAAACAAACATAAGTCAATCATAGTCCTTTATTCTTTTGCCCACAGAAGCTTTTGTCTTTAAGTTTTTTCTTGTAATCTGAAGCCTGTATATCTTTCTTGAATCTAACATTCATTAGTACACAGCTAGATGAGTTACCTGTCTAAAATCAAAGATTGAGAGCAGCTTGCCATTTCAGAGGGTAAAGATCAGAGTTGTCTCTTGAACTACATCCTGAAAGAGTTCTTCCCTAAGTGCATCTACAGTTAAGACTTACTGCTTAGATGTTATGGTAGGTGTCCTTCAGATTGTCTGAATCTGTTAAAACCTGGGTACGATTTCTCAGTGGCATCATTCATCCGTCCGTCCATTCATTCCATGTGTTTGTCATACTCCATTCATGCACTCTGACTCTCATGCTGGGGCTCTTTGTGAGGTCTAGTCAACATACTCTAGCAGCACAGTTGAAGGAGTAATTAGTAATCAGACAAAGAATATAATAGCATCAAAAATCTTCAAGAAGATTTACCTAAGCCTTAAAGTAAGGCTGCTTTGGAGTTCTCAGTGTAGGTTTGGAGGGGGCCACATGTCAGTAATAAACGTAAGTACATTGACATTGTGAGCAACAGGTGGAGGAGAATTTGGGGTGGGGAGCAAACTGCATTGTGTGGAGAGCCAAGACATGAACCTGGGAAGGTGGATGGAGAAGACTTGTTAGAGGCTTACATGAGATGCTGAGAGTGAGTAACTGTCCTGCAGCTTTAGCCAAGAGCTGGTACAGGTGCACAGAGATGTCCTTTGACAGATGAGGCTGCTTTGGGGACAGTTTTTAAGTAAGTCTTTTGTCATAGCAATGCCCACCTCCAAGCCTGTCTCAGATTTAGAATTTCAAGTGGGCTGAAGCCTTTCAGTGTTTTTTCTGCCCTTTTGTTTTATAGAGGAGGCATTTGTAAGCTATGAAAGAGGAAGAAGTTATTAAGTGACCTTTAATGGTTATAGGAAAAGCATTCCATCAGTTTCAAATAGCTCCTGTGAGTGGATGAATTTTCATTCATTCTTAGGACTTTGAGCACCCTCTTAAATAGCATTCCCTGTAATAATGGAGCCTGTCACTAGAACATGTAACAGGAAAGGCCTGTTGCTCTTTCATTCATTCAGTGATTACTTCCGGAGCTCAGAGTGTGTACTAGACTTTGCTTCATTGAGTGTAGAATTAGGAGCTGACAGCAACGGAGTGCTTACACCTGGAGCTTAGCCTGTCTCAGGAGCCATCATTAAGAAACTTCTAGAAATAAAGGGCATAATTAAGTGGTATCAGATGCTATGGGTACATATAAATTGAGGGGACAGTATATGCATCAAGGAAGACCTCTCTGAGGACAGGACCACTGGGCTGATGCTGGGCAGTTGCATTTGGGTTAACTTGGTGAGGAGGGAAGGGAAAAAGGATTTTGCAAGAAGCAAGTGATGCATGAAGTTCTTTGAGGCGGGAATATAACAAGCAGGGTATTGGCAGAAGCGGAATCTGAGTTCAGATGTGCAGGGAGAAGGCCGAGGCAGTGATTTTTCTATTACTCCTAGACCACTGGCACTTTTAGGACAGGTAACATCAGCTAATGTGCATGTTAAAGGCTCTTGCTTATTGTGTGTGAAATGAGCTGGAGAGGGGTCTAGGGATTGCTCCAGAAGAGCCAGGAAGAGGGGAGAGCAAGGCTTTCATGGTGGAGGGAGTAGACATGTTGACAGAACATTTAAGAAATGAGGTCATTTTGATGTGGTAATGGTTTAACTGTACGTGTCAGGGAGTGTGTGGGTGACCCTGGGTTCAGAGGATGATGGAGGTGAGCCAGGCGTGGAGAAATCTACCGATGGTATGAGCTGTCCTGTAGCAACATGAAAGATGAAAATGATTGTTTGTTAAACAGTTATTCCATACTGTATTATGTATTTTATTTCTTTTTTTAAAAAGATGTTTCCTGATGCCACATGCAAATGAGAAAAATGAGCACAGATGGTAGTTTGGGTTGTTTTTTCTGTCCTATGTTTTGGTATCTATTGTTAATTTCGTTTTGAGATCATAAAAGGACTCCAGACAGAAGGCCATTTATTTACTTGCCCATTATTTATTGATGTGTTTTGAGTTTCTTCAGACTTTTAAAATATATTCCCAATAGTAGTGGAAACTTACTTTGGATGTTGAGGTTGTATCTAAACATTACTATGTGAAGTAAAATGATAAACAATTAAAAGATTTTTGCCTTTGCCCAGTACTCTGGGAGACTGAAGTGAGGGGATCACAAGATTGAACCTGGCAACTTAGTGAGATAGTGAGACCCTGTCTCAAAATTTAAAAAAAAATTTCTAAAAGATGAAGGTGCAGTATAGAATGTAGCTCGGTGTGAAGGCCCTGAGTTCAGCCAGTGCTTGGGAAAAAATCACCTTGAAAAATTCCTTTTGAAAAAATATCCCTTTTGTCTTCTGTGGGTTTTTAGTTGATTTCAGGATACATAGCATTTCATAGGACATACCTTTTCACTATTCCTAAATTCAGATATGTTTTCTTTAATCTTCCTTCCTTGCCTCCTCTGTGACTCAAGCTTTACTGTCCAAGGGAAAACTTAAAGCTCTCTGTAGCTTTTGGAGTTGCCAGGAATGACTAATCTATGCGCATATCCTGCCTGTGGTACAGCCCAGTTCCACCCCATCTTGTAAAAAGTTTGTGAAACCAATTAATGTAAATCCTTAATCTGTAAATAATGGTGACTTTTATCGATTCCAGATAGGAGAGCTAAAACATGTGTGTTTATGAGAGAAGGGTACAGTTGTTACTAAATAAAATATCATTGGTAATACCACAAGAAGACTGCTTTATGCCACAAACTTGGCAAGGTCCTGGAGACATAATAGCGTGGCCAAAAAAATGCAGTCTTTTCTCTTAAGAAGTCTAGGGAAAAAGAAATCCACTTCAGACACTATTGAAGAAGGGTAAACTATGAGAGATTTGAAGTAGAGTGATAGTTCTATTAATGGTGTGATTGCTGTATGCAAACTAAACTAGATGGCGACAAGAAGTGAAGCCACACACTGTAGAAGTTGACTTAGTTACTTTTTTTGTTGCTGAAACAAAATACTTGACGGTCGAAGTTAAAGGAGAAAAGGTTAGTTTTGGCTCGCAGTTGGCTGGCACGGGAGAGGGCCATCACAGAGCAGAAACAGTTCATGGTGTAGGCATAAGGCACAAAGCAGCAAGCAGCTGGCCTGCCTTTCTCTTTTTCCTATGCTGGCTGTCCACCTTTTGTGTGGCGCCACCCAGAACTGAGCTAATTCCCATTAGTGGACTAATTTAGTACCAGACATTCTTAACCTCAATATCACATGCCCTAAATCCAGCCAGCTCTGAAAAGCCGTGCTTAGGAGCACATGAGGTTGCTGGGGGGCATCAGGATACAAACCGAAGCTAGTAACTGGTAGGAAGTGTGTTACTCTCCTGTTACAGGACATGTGCCTGGATGCTGGGATAACTGTAGCAGTACTCAAGGGAGACAGTGCTTCTTAGATCTCTTCAGGCAATAACTTTTGTTCCTTTGTTTATATATTCAGTTGCATAGTATTCTTATAACAGCAATATTCTTGTTATTTTCTATATTGCTTACAGTAAATTTCACATTTTTGCAATGCATGTTTATAATATTTACTTCAAGAAGCTAGTTGGCAAAGCATATGAATTTAATGATTTTTTAAAAATACAAGATGTGTTATGTACATGTACCAATCCTACACAAGGAATGTGAGCATTGCACATTATAAATACATACCAAAAAATAAAAAATAAAAGGAAAGGGACCGGGCAGGGGATAGAGTAGAGGGAGGGAAGGGCAAGGGGATGAGAAAAAGGAATTAAAAAGTTTAATTACTTGGATTAACTCCCCACAAGGAATGTAAACATAGTGTCTTACAAACGTACTAATAAAAATATAAACGGCTATATAAATATACACTTGCAAATTGACAGCAAGTTCTAGCTATAAAAGTGTATTTCCTATTCCCATTCTTTTTTTGTAGTTGATAACATTTAATTGCAAGCAGTATAAACTGGCTATAACTGACAACATTGCCTTCACATGTTCTGTATTGTTTTTTACAGTTATTGCCAGTTTTCGAGGAACCGTCCCATTTGGCCTGTCACTGGAAATTGGCGACACAGTTCAGATCCTGGAGAAGTGTGATGGTGAGTGGCCTCATGCGGGATTAGTTGTGGTTGTGTGAATCACCTCTTTGATGTAGGACTCTTCAGAAAAAAATTTTTTTTCCTTTTTCTTTTTTATCAGTGCCGGGGACCGAACTCACGACCGCCTGCTTACAAGGCAGGTGCTTATGCCACTGAACTAAATCCCCAGCCTCCTTCCGAAAGTTTATACATTCTGTCCTGAGCACTGTTAAACTCTGGACCTTATCCAGTAATCACAGCAAAACATTTTCTAAGGAACTTGTTCCTTGTGTGTTCATGTTTGGCTACTAAAACAGCAGTTTTGGTGTTTTTGAGTTAGTCGTTTTTCTGATATTATGTGTTTATTGTCATCACGTGGCAACATAGAAAGCAAATGAAGTTGTTTTATGTGTGTGTTCATGACATAGTACCTCTCTAGAGGGCTTTTCTCAAAATCTCAAGAGTCCTGCAGACTCCTCTTGGCTCCTCCCTGGATGGGAAGAAACTAAAGTCTGGCTGGATGACCTGATGCTTCCTAAAGGGCTCCTGCCCTGGTCCTATGTACTCTGATCTTTTTGTTTTTCTCTTTATTTTGGGATAAAATTATTCAGTGCATTTGAAATGTTAGTAGAATATTTTATATGATTGTGAATGATTATTGTTAATTCATATACTAGGTAATTCTTTTAATGTTACTTAATATATTCTCAAATGTTTCTATGCCTTGAATATCTTTTAAGTTCTATTTTTTTAAAAAGATGAAATTACTACTTTTCTAAAAAATTCTTAACAGAATGACTGTATTTTACAGTGCCATTCATATATCCAGAAGTACTCATTTTTCTGCTGGACGGCTTTTCTCACTAGGAATTTATAATACGATAACATCGTATCTCATCAAGTTTCATCATAGATTAAATTGTGATCCCCCAACAGAATTACTACATTAACTAGAGCCTGACACTAAATGGTGGTGCTATTTGGATGTTTATTCTGCCCACTGCATTTGAGTCCACTAAAAATATAATAAGGTTTCCTATGTCATTAGCAGATGCATTTTGTTTATTTCTACTATGTGTACAGGTGAACATAAAATTGATTTTGAATTGGTACATGCCCCAATGTGCCCCATATCTAATAGGAAGTGTTGCGGAATCTAAAAACTTTTCTCTGTGGTGTAATTTAGATAGAACCTCTCTAGGACATTTCTATAGTTTCCAAAAAGTTGTGGTTTCTGCTAGAATAATGATTTACAAGTGAACATATTTCTTGGATCTGTCCTTGTCAGAGTGTAATAAACCCTGAGATATAGAGATTCTGATTTTCCATTCATTCTCCTTTCTTCACACTTACTTTAAAACTATTAAGGGGAAATATTTTATAACACTGTATTGTATATCCTTTTAAGAAAATGTTTTATGAGGAATAAAAATGTTTAAGTACAAACTTCAAATATTTATTCTTAAAAGTTTAATTAGCCAAAAATTCAGTTAGAACATTTATTGCATAGCAAAATAATTCCTTGCCACTAAGCCAAGTAGTGTCTACACTTGAAAGAAAATGTAATCTGAGAATATTACAATTAAATTGAGCTATATATTAGTCATATATAATTAATACCATGTATTTGTTTTAAATTATAAAGAGACTTGTTCCTCCTTAATAGAATCATAAAACCTAGCTGAAGTAGTAGACATTGTACAGAATACAAATTACGGGGCACTTGGCTGCTGAGACGTGGTGCTGATGAGGCTGATGAAGGTGTGCCAGTTAGTTCTGGGGGTCAGGAGACCGGGCTTTGCTCTTCCTGTGGTACTGATCCTAACTTAAGATGCTGGGTGTGGCGATGTGCAGATGCATTGAATAACTGCTGGCCTAGCACTATTATTTGATGGTAGATTCTGTGCTTTTTTAGTTAGGTGAGCAGATTTTAGAAATGTAGTAAATATTGTGTGAATTCTTGAATTTCCTTTAAAAATAATATGAGCTAATAAAATGGGAGGAAGTGACGCTCAGAGAGGTCATGTAACTTGCGCAGAAGTAAATACCAGAGCCAGAGTTTGCACTCTGATTCTAAAACCTTCTATTTTGTCTGATTTTTAAATGTAAATTTCTGATAAAGTTTTGCAAACAGTGTAATAGTAAAATCAAGTAATAACTTGAGCTTTTATCTAGCCTTAGTGTAACAACTACTATGTGTATGCGTAGAATATTTACATGTATGATAAAATTACATTGGCAAAAGATATGTTAATTTGTTATCTTTAAAACATTATGTTTTATAAAAATGTAACAGTGATTATTTTTCCACAGGCTGGTACAGAGGATTTGCCTTAAAAAACCCAAATATCAAGGTAAAGCCTGCTATCTTACAAAAAGTTAAATTTTAAAATTACCTTACTATACAATTGAAATTAAAGTTGATACTGTTAATTGAAATGCATACAGATATTCATAATTTTGGAAATTCCTTTGAACTTGGAATTCAGTTAAAATGTGCTACTCAAATGATAATCTTGTATGGCTCTTAAAAATTGTACTGAGAAAACCTTAATAAGCTCATTATATATAAACAAAATCTTTTTGAAGTATTAGTTTCTCTGAGAGCTGAATTAAAATTCAGGCAGGGGAAATATATATATATTTGAAAAAAATATTGAATAGAAATATTTAATCTTAACGTTTTTATAGCATCATTTATAAAATGCTGATCTGGAGAAACAAGTTTATTTTAATGGCATGTTGAGTCCTTTTGCATTTGGGCAACTGAAACTGAGAAATCCATATTAGAAAAATACCCATCTCTCCTACCATTCTAATAGATACTAAGACTCATTATCCTTTATATATTTATATAAACCTTCAGGATTTATAGGAGAAAGTAGTATGATTTTTGTTTTATCTTTGGCCTGAATAGCGTGTGATTTTGACACTAATCCTTCCTAGTATCTTTTTCTACTCTTAATTGCCCCCAGTTTCCATCCATACTCCCCTCAGTCTCTAACTTTTTTTACGTTATATTCATTTTGAGTTTAATATTATCATTAAAATTATAGATGAGGAATCATTTATCATGAAGATATGTTGTAAGATAGCAACTTTTTTTCTTGTCTCTTTTCATAAGTATAGTTTTGCTGGAACATTCACGGTGTTTACTTCATTTCATTATTTTAGATTAACCTAAAGGAGAGTGTAAAGGACAAAAGTATATGCAAATTTTAATGTTAGCCCTCATTTAAACTTTTTTTGGGCATCTGCATGACATAATAACTTCAATATTTAAATATTCATCGGGAGTGTTTATTATAATTTCTCTGTTACTACACCCATCCTTTAACAAGCCTCAAGTTCTTTCCTCATTAATTATAATTTTGTTACTTTCAACACATTGAAGTAAATTTAAAATTTTACAAAAAACGATTTTTATGGAAAAATCTGTATGTATGTTTACTACTATTGAATATGTAGAATTTATCTCACTAAATTTTACTTTTTACTTGGATACACAATAGCAATAACATGTGTGAATGACATTTGTTTTCATAAATATTTAATTGAGTTTGTCATTTGATTATACATCAGAAATTCATCAGAGGATATTGTCATTTAATAGACAATAAAATTGATGCTCATTTTGTTGTTGCTGTTTCTTTCAATTTCCCATTTAGAACAAAGGAGCAATTTTCTTGCCCTATTATTTTCCCGCAGTACAAAGCTTTAGAGGAGCATGGCTTCTTTTGTTTAATTTTCATTCCATCAGAATGGCAGCACAGTGATTAATTGCTTCTGTGTGTTGTCATCAAAGATCTTCTGTGACACGTACAATACAGCTATTGTCTCCAAATTCATTGGATTTTTAAGTATATATTTTTAAATAGAATCATGAGTGTTTGGGGAAGAAGGAAAAGAATAATTAAAGTAAACAAAATCCAAAAAAAATCTGCCTTTTAAAACTATGCAGTATTTAAAATTTCTCATTTAGGTGGTTTTTACATAGAATTTCTTGGATTTTTGGGTTTTGTTCCACAAAGAATATATTTATGGTATGAGACTCAATTTTTTCATTTATGTGTATTTTAGGGAATCTCTAATTTTGTAAAGGAGTCAGTAGTAGAAAAAGAAGAGAGTAGATGTGAGGCACAGGAGCTTTCGCCAGAGGATGTGGGTGTGCTCTTCATCACCCCGCTCCGTGCTGTCCTGGCTGTGACTGTGCTTTGCCCATAGCACTGCTGAGCCCACCCTGCCTCACAGCACAGCTCCATCACCTTCATCTTTTCTCTTTTAGGGTATATTTCCTTCCAGCTACGTTCACTTGAAGAATGCCTGTGTAAAGAATAAAGGGTAAGAAATAAGTTTTATTAATATTGGAGGATTTTCATGGAACCATCACCTATTTTGGAATGTGAGAGACTTAGTAACTGTTTTGAAAAATGAACTGTGCAAGATCCTACCATTGTCTGTGCTGTTGATGAAAAGATGCTAAAACATTTGGGGGAGAGAGAATTAAAGAACCCATCTGTGTGTGCTGGACAATGGCAGTCCCCAGGGGCACTGAGGTGTCTCAGTGTCCACAAATCATGGAACTAGCTGAATCTTAAGCAGGAAGAGTTGGTTTCTTTTGGTTTCCTGCTGTTTAGGGAAGCATGGCAGTGAGGCCCGTAAAATGGTGAATCATACTGCCTCAAAACCCAGGAATTTCCTCAGTTCCCCGCTAATTATAAGAAGCCATGTGTGGTATTTTCCAAATGACCATCATGATGCAATATCCTTGGGTGACCAGTTTATAAAGCCACTGTTCTTTAGAAAATCACCTTGTTAGATTGAGCCAACTGATCACTTAGATTACTTACACACTTAACCCCCCATCTATTTCTAAATAATTGGAAGCAGCTCTCAGGATAACATCATTTAAATAAGATATTGCTGGACAGAAGAGTAGAGCTTGCCTATTTCAGTAGTTAATATGAACAGACCATTCATTGTAAGCTTTGGACACAGACATTTGCCAATGTAATGAAGTCTTTTCTGGATTATCATATAATCTTCATTCTTCTTTTGTGAGGGTCTTTACGAGGTGGAATTGAAGCTGCTGCTGAGTGACATCCAGTGGACAGGCAGGCTTATAAAAATACTGCTGTGTGCCCTCATCCACCTTATTCCTGGCTTTCCCATGTGACTTCTCATTTGTTCCCCAAAGCTCCCATGAAAAATAAACATTTGAATCAATTCAGTACATTGAAGCAGCCAGGATAGTGCAACTAAACGACACACAAAAGAAGACTTCTAGAAATGGCTCAGAAAGTGGCTAGAAAAATATATTCAAAGCCCATTTGGAGTATTTTGAGAATTAATGGCAGTGTGTTTGTCACTGTAATTTTTTAAAAAATTAAACATTCACCACAGTTTTTGATCACACTTTGTATGTTAGCTACTTTAATATTATTAGTAGTAGTATAATTTTTGAAATAGTTTAAAAGTATAATTCTAGTAATAGTATTCACCACTGGTACCAGTAACTTCTTTGTAGTATAAAAGCTGTAAGTCACTAGAAGTACAGCAGTGTACTGGTCCTTCTGGAAGTGTCCCAGGCTAGTTTTGTCTCTGTTCATCTGCTCTCTAGAACTAGAGAACAATTCAGAAATCATTTTAGCCAATGCTGACTCTTTGTTCTGACCTTTCTGCTCTGGGATTGTCTGTATGAACACTCCAGATTCTGCCTCATTCCTTAAATTGTGAGCAAGCACTTCTAGCCCCATCTTCCTTGTTGTCTTTACCCATGACCATCCTTAACCTCCCTCAAGCCTGTTGAGCTTTGGGCAGCCCAACCCCATCATACTTTCTGAGAAAGAGAAAGAGAGAAGGCTCTGCTCTAAAAATGATGTTGTTGGTTGAACTCTACCCTTGAAAGTCAGTTGAAATGGAACATATTTTAAAATAAGTGCCTTCTTTTTTCCTTTGTCATTTCTTTTCCTTTTTTTTTTTTAAAAAAAACTTATATCTGGTTCCTTTCCATAAGCCCCCCAAAAGTTTAATTGTAGCAAAAATGTCTCCAAATTGGGTTGTGTAAATTCAAGATTTGCTTATGGGTTCTTTGCCTCACACCAGGCATAGATGAGCATTTTACAGCAGAAGAACTCTAGGTCAAACTTTACTTTCTAAAACAGAATTTCTGGAGTTGATTCCGGCCCACATTTCCAGGACTGTTATTGGAATAAAAATTTGGGCCTAAAAACATTTGAGGCTGTGTATTGCCAGATACTTGTTTTCCCAGAGAGGAAATCTTTGGATTTTGATATTACCAGTCTTATCTTAAGTGGATACCCAATGACTCTCCACTTTAAAGTTGCTGCAAAGTACGACTCAGAGTAACTGACTGGGGCAACTATTTAAGACAGACTGTTTGAGCTCTGGTTTTAGTTTTTGTGTGATTAATAGGAAATAGCTGCCTTGCCTAAAAAATGACAATTTTGTGCTTAAAAACTTACAGTTTGTTTGAATAATCCCTAAGTCAACTTCCTTACAGATCCAATTATTTTTTCTTGGATGTTCACAGCAAACAGGACTGATGGGGATCCTTAAATTAAATTACATGTTGTGAACAGTGAGGCCATAGCTATATTGTTCAATTCTTGCTGAGATAATATATATCACTATCAAAATGTTGACTAGGATGTCGGGTTTTCCTGGAAATTCCTTGTTCCCCCCATGAGATGGGATAGGATCAGTTTAGAATCTCTATCTCCAAGCATTCATCATTTAAAGTGCAACAGCTGCTTCAAAAGTGAAGTAAATGTACTATCTTTGGAAAATGTCATATGCAGATTCAATAAAAGGTCCTGTACCTCTTAACAGTTCATATGTTATGTTTACTTTTATTTCAAGTTCTGAATTCTCATTTTACAGTTTTAGCAGTGTTTAAGCTCAAGAAATAAAAATATTCTTAGGGCAGGTATCTTAGCAGAAATGTAAATGAGATAGAGCTGTACTAGTAAGGGAACAGATTTTGGTTCTGTAAGAAGATTATACAGAAGACAGTTATGCATGCTTTGACATAACATCAAAAAGGAAATAGGAAGCAGTTATTAGCCTCATGCTAAGAAGTAATTTTCCCTTGATCAGTGAGACAACCTAATTCAGTCTCCAATAGGCTGTTATCTTTTGCATATTAGACGTTGTCCTTGAAAAAAAATTATTGAAATTAAGGCAAAGCACCCATAAATATAACTGGGAGCATTCTATAGAGATGGAGTGGCACTGTTAGTCATTTAACGACATTAACTGATGTAAAACTCAAAAAGGATTAAAAGAAAAAAACTAAAGATGAAGAAGAGAGGAGATCATTATATATGTCAAAGGCAGGGTATAAAAGGCAAATTAAAACTTCCACTTTTTTTTCCTTATCTGAGTTTCTTTTCAATTCCCTACTAAACATTGGTAGGAATAATTTCCAAGTATAATTTCTTACTTTTAGAGTAGCAATAGAAAGATTGTATTACCCTTATCACTGAAATAGTTTGGAGTAAATATTTAAATATCTGTTATGTCTTAAGCCTTTAAAATAATACGCTGAATGATATCATTACTAATAATACTGATGATTTTTCATGGCCCTTCTCACAAATATAATGAATGAAAGGTTAATGAGCCCAAGTGAATGTTCCATGTCACAGTGTCTAGTTATTTATAACACTGAGTTAGGTTGTTCACAGCCGTTGCATCCTGGTAGCTCAGCAGTTTGTCTTTTACTTAAGTTCCGTGGTCATAGCACTTGAAAGCAAATGTTACCTCAGAGTTCATGTCACCTAGTTACTTGGTGTTACAGATACAGGCTTTTGAGTTTGAAAATTTTTAAAAGAGTTGCTATCTAGTGTCCAAATGTCACCAGATCAGAACACTTACACTGTTCCTTTTCCCCTGCACTGTGCAGACTAGATCTGCATAAAGTGGCTGATCCCTTAGGCACTACACCACAGTCATGCACATGACAGTTTTCCTACAAGCTCAAAATCAAATCCTGGTGATTGTTTGCAGGAACCAAAATAGCCAGACTGCTCTCTTTCCTATTTTATCTTTAGAGTGTTAAAAAAACAAAATCATTTTGTATTATGTTTGCATATATGTTTTTTCCCTTTTAATTTCACAGACAATTTGAAATGGTTATTCCTACTGAAGACTCTGTTATCACAGAAATGACATCTACGTTAAGGGACTGGGGGACCATGTGGAAGCAACTCTATGTGGTAGGTAGTTTTCAGTGGTGTGGTTCTCTGAGAAGAGAATTATCTTAAATATTTGAATGTGAATAAAAGCATCAACAAGAATTTGAGCACCTGCTCTGATTTACTAATACTCCTTAGGGAGTCAGGGATATAAATGTTAGTGAAATTTAGTCTTGCTATAATCTTGGTATCCCCTGAGTATTAATTTTATACATTATTTTTCAATACAACATGCATGAATGGATTATTTATATAGATCTAGTGTCGGGCTTCATGAAAATTTTTAACTTTTAAATACATAAACATATTTAATACAACTTAGTTGTAATTTATCATATTTTAACTGTGTAACTATAATTTAAGCATCCTGTAAATGACAACTGTTTAATGAGAATCAGTAAGAATATTCTAAATCTATTGAAGAAAAGAATAGCTCTTAAAAACTATGGGTATTTTGTACATAAATATGCTTATTTATGTGCTTATGACTAATTATACTATTCAGCACTGTATTGGTCATTTTTTCTCTTGCTGGGACTAAATACCTCACACTCAAAACTTAAAGGGTGAACAGTTTAATTTGGCACATAGTTTCAGTGGTTTCAGTCTATGGCAACTGGCTCTTAAACAGAAATAATCATGGCATAAGGGTATGGTAGAGCAAAGCCACTCAGGTCATGGCAGCTGAGAAGCAGAGCACTGGGTAAGAGCACCAGTGAAAGATGCATTCTCCCAAAGACATGAGCCCAGTGACCTCCTCCAACTGGACTCCACCTCCTAATGGTACATTCAGCTGTGAACATTAGGGGTTTAGCTCATTGGTAAATATAGTGACCCCAGTCAAGTAACAGTTGAGATTAAATGGTACGTGCACTTATTATCAGGCAAATCCTGTGGGAAGTACTCTACATACAATATTTCATGTAATCCTTATAACCATTCACGGTAATACTCACTATGGTCATCTCCAGGTTTCAGATGAGAAGAGTGAGAAAGTGAAGTTCTTGGAATAGACCAAGTACAGTGGTCCCACCTTACTGTTAAGGACATGAGTCTAGAACTCTGTGGAGCCTCAAATGATGGATAGTATAGAACCCTACATAGACATACCCATGGCAAAGTTTAACTTATAAATTAGGCACAGTGAGAGAATAACAATAATTAATTAAAAAGTTGAACTTGATTATAATAACATGGGATAATGAAAATTATTTAAAACTTACAAATTATTTAGTTTTTGAATTTTCCATTTCATATTTTCAAGCCTCAGTTGGCCATGGGAAATTGAAACCTTGAGAAACAAAACCTCAAGAAGCCCGTGTTATTAGAAAGTGGCTGAGCTGGGGTTCAGAAGCAAATTATGTCTTTTCTCAGAATCAATGTTTATGCAGAAGTCTGGGGGTGATGATATTGTAAGGAAGATAAATGTGATTTTCTTCTTTCGTTGTCAAAGAAATTTTTGAAACAGCTTAATCACTGGAAAGGATCTATTCAGAATATAAAGGTGTATTTATCCTGACAAAATGATCTGAAACACCCATCAAAAAGAAAATCCAAATTATTGAGGTTTATTAGCACAGAAAGATGGTTTATATTCGTTTATTTCTAACTTGCAAGAGGGTATTTCTAACATGCAGTAGGGAAAGATAATTTTAAAATGTTGCCATTGGAAATGCTTACCTGGCCATACCTTCCTGGGAGTTGGTGGCTTTAGGACTCATGAAACAAATCCACAAGACAGTCTTAGGTCTCAAATGAGTTTTCTGAGTGAAGTCTTTGCAAACACAAAGTCAAGACAGCTGACCCCAAGATTCTGGTGATGGACACTGCCATAACAAAGCAGACCTCCCCTTTAAATATTTTTAAGATTATGTTGTAAAGCATATAAAATCTGAGTATTATTTCACTTAAAGTAACATTGTGCAAGACACTACCACAGACAGTAGAAAGTATGTAAAATATTTGAACCATTGCATGTGAAACACTCAAATATAAGAGAATTATAAAAACAATGGTGTAAGTATTGTCCATTAGTTGAGTAAAAGGACCTGAAACTTTCCTTCCATGTAGTGATTAGTGGAGAATAAAGTTAAATTCCTTTTTTCACTCTGTCTTGTGTAGCTATTTTTACCTGCTTGTGGGGTTGACAAATATCTCTTTTTGGGACAGACTTGTTTGAACATGCTATGAACTCTAAAAGTAACCTCTTTTCCACTGTCCTGAGTAATGGAGAAAGCCCAAGTATACTCTCAGTTTCCCTGGCTACTAGAGAGCAGTTATATGAGCAGCAAATGTAAAATTGAACCCAAAGATATTAGAGTCTTAACATTGGGAATGAAGTCAACATGTGATATTGGACATTTTGACTTCTCCTTTCCTGCCACAAATACTTTGTGCCACATGTTTAGTTCAGATTCATCATGCTTGAATATATTTGGAGTATTATCCATGTTCTCTTCTAATAGTTTTAAAGCAGCTACTTTCTTCACTGAAAGATGCTTGATGAAGACAATGTATGTGAGATTATATGGGTCAGGTGCTTTGTATAAAAGTATCTAGTAATTGCTTGAGAAATGCGAGTTTTCTTTTAAATGACTTTGGAGAGAGCCTAAATCATGCCCTTTAAAAAAAAACCCACTTAATAAAATATCAGTAATATTATCACAAAAGACTCAGGAGAAACATAACAGTCATCTTTTCCCAACTACTTTGATGAAGGTCCTGTGCTGTTTTACATCTGTTCCCTGAGGCTCTGCCAGGTAGTTTTTATTCTTGAATCTTACAAAAAATGATTTATCCAGAGTCCCATGCAGAATACTAAAACCTCAATCTAAATCTAGGTCTACTGCCTAAACCAGTGCTTATTCATTTTAAGGCAAATAAAAACTTACTCTTGTCTATAGTATGAAAATACAATTAGTAGCTGCATCTCTGATATATTACAGGAATTTCTAGATATTGTCTTATTTCAAGTGTTAATATTGTACCTACCTTTTCATTCAATACTAAGTCAAAAATTTTTGTATATTTCTGGTTAGCGGTCAATATTTCATGGCTTTTAAAGCTATCAGTTTTTCAGATCCAATTTTTGTGAGCCATAATTTTATGACCAGATGTCCAATAGGTGTATACTTTTGTATACAATAGCAGGGCAAGTTTGATGGAAGGCCTGTAATATGACAGTGACCCTTCACCTCTCGGTTTTCTTCCATAAAGAGGAAGCTGGCCTGTTTGTTTTTATTTTTATAAAGGTTCTGACTTTCTTCTTAGCATTCTCTTAAATTGAAATCCTAGGGCTGTTGTTTAAAAAATCAATGCCACACTGCTGGTCCACTGTAGAGTGCTTCCCTAAGAGAGGCACATGACCTTCTCACTGCCACAGTCTGTTCACGTGGGGGCTGGCTCTCTCCTTTGCTGCGTGAGATTTGAGTTCTATCTGTGATTTTTGTATGTAATAATTTGACTCAGTGGATTTCTCCTTACCACTGATTTTCTTACAGGGTCTTCTGTACAACCTATACAGTACCAGCCTCTCGGGGTTTTGAGAAGTAACACAGATAAAGAAAGTTTTCATTCATTTGTTCTCCATCTGCAGGGGCCAAAAAGGCAGGCACAGCCGCTGTGGTTGGGAGGTTAGAGTTACATGGAAGATGCATACACTGAGTGATTAATTACAGGAGCGTTATGTTACAGTGCCCTTGTAATGGCTTGTACGGGAGTGCATAACATGTGGAATGAGCAGGAAGTAATAGACATGCTCAATAAAGTGCTTTAGGTGTTGAGAGGTGAGCAAGATTATTTATACCTCAGAGGATTGGGGATGGCATTCTGGAGGATGCTTCTTGTTCCTCTGGCAAATTTGTCTGACCTAGATGGCATGTGAAAACCCCTCAAGACACTAAGTATTGATGAAGCAGAGAACAAGTCACTTTGCTGTAAAAGGAGAAACTGTTTTACAACTGAGTATCTTTACTCCTCACAAAAGACCTGATATTTCTTGTACTTTATAACCATAGAGAGCTGTAGATGGATCATATCCTTGATATTTTCATAGCACTGTGCCTGTAAGTCTATAGCAATAATTTTTATAAAAAGTAAAAATATGACTTCTCCTAAAAAAGATGAGGGATAAATAATTGTATAAGGTTTACCTTAATGTCTTCAGGGTAAGAGATAGATCCCTCTGTTTTGGTTAAAAAAAATCTTTCTGAAGAAAGATTCTTAGTATATTAGTATATTCTTATTGAATATACTAAGCCCAAACTGTGATAAGCACTAGGAACCACTAATACTTGCATGATAGTTTTTCTGGACCAGGCATTGCTTTCAGAGTCTTCATATATTAATTTATTAATCCTCAAAACCCTATGAATTAGATATTGTAGTACCTGTTTTACAGACAAGAAAACAAGCACAAAGAAGTTAATCATATTACTAATATGTTTAACTTTGTAGCACCCATATTGCTAAAGGTTTGTAGCCAGTAAATGAAAAAATTGGAATTCAAGTCAAAGCAAAGTCATTTGACTCTAAGATGTGCTCTTTTCATCAAGCTAAGTGGGATCTTCACATATGTTATCAACAAACTAAAAAACTCTATTGGTCAGCTTTTCTACTACTGGGATACAGTACACTGATAGCTCCAGCTTAAAAGAAAAGTGGTTTAATTCACCTCCAAGGTTCAGAGATTTCAATCTGTTACTGGTGGGCACCAGCGCAGAAATACTATGGTATAAAAGCATGATAGAATAAAGCTGATTGGTTCATGCCAACTGGAAAGCAGAGCAGGGTAACGGTGACAGAAGAAAAAGGGACAAGGGACCTTATCGAGGTCTACCTGGACACTAGAAGTGGGCTTGACTAGTCAGTCCCCTAGGCAGCTTCGAAGCCGACCAAGTTGACAGTTAATCTCCACCACCACCACAACCTTGCAGTAGGATACTACTGCACTGTTGCACAGAGGACAAAACTCATTCTCCAAGTCCATGAAACTGAAGTGGCAAGATCAAAGTTTAAAGCCAAGAGTTTAACTTACCTTTTTTCCACTCAGCCATGGAGCTCAATGAATTTCATGGGAGAATATTGTGAATCTATATGATTACTAAAAAGTAAGAAGTGTACCTTTTCTTACTTTTAAGGTCTAAATTGAGCTGATAATGGCAGTGAAAAAATCAATCTATAAGAGTCTGAGTCCTCTGTGTAACCAACTTCTGCTGGGAAGTCTAAGAAAGCATGAGGACCAGTATGCAAGAAATAGTTGGACAACAGGATTTTCTGTTTTATTGGCTCTGTTTCTGTGCAGCCATAACAGAGAAGGCAGGAAGGAACGGGGGAAGGTTTCTTAGGCAAGGTTGGCTGACGGAAGTGAAAGGCAGGCTGAGCCCTGAAAGAGGGTGGAGTGTGCATGAAGCACAAGAAAGGAGCACACGAGCTGGAAAGAGAGGCAGTGTTCACAGAGGGCGGGGATGGGGCCGAGCCCAAGTGTGGAGGTGCAGTGAGAAATAAGGGTGCGCTGTCTGTGTTGGGGAGTGGGAGAAGTGATGTCAGCTTCTTGGAGAAGAGAGCAGCGTTGTGAAACTTGGACGTAAGTAGGCAGAGCAGCAAATGTATTTGAGGACAGTAAGGAAGACTTCATTCTGGGCAGAGAATCTGTCCACAGCAACACAGCCCGCTAGAGCTGCCCCTTCGCCTTCCTCTCTGGTTACCCTACAACCCCTTATGCGGACTGATGCCAGATCTCCACGTTTGTGTGTTTCTCAGAGGAATGAAGGTGATCTCTTCCATCGGCTGTGGCATATCATGAATGAGATCCTGGATCTGCGGCGACAGGTGCTGGTTGGCCATCTCACCCATGACCGGATGAAGGATGTCAAGCGCCACATTACTGCTCGCCTAGACTGGGGCAACGAGTGAGTACTATCCATTACAGGTGCTCTCTGGGGGCGAACACAAGAGAAGGGAGTTGGGTGAGAGCCTGTACATGGTAATGTCCATGGGAGAAATCATGGTTTTCCTGTTTTCCCAGTCATTGATAGAGCCAAGAGCCACACCCTGTAGCCTCTGGTGTGGCACTGAGGTACTATTGCTGTCTGGTGCCCACTGTGTGGCATGATTGTGTGCTCATAAAAAGGGAAATGTTCAGAAGGGTTTGTTAGCTACAACTCCTGGCTAAAATGGGTCCTGTTCTCCAGTAGTCTAGGTCTGGCATGTTTATTCACTTATAATGTATACGTCATCCATTCTGGGGGATAGGTCACCATGTAATCCAGAGAGAGACAGTGATGTTAGCAGCTTGGAGTAAAAGTCTGATGACAAGTGCACCCCTGGGGCCTCTTGTCATCGCCACAGTTAATTCTATGCATGCATGTGAGCCACTTGGAGAAGCTGCTTGGAAGATTAAGAATCGCTGTATCTGACCAAGATTTACTCTTTTTTTAAAAAAATATTTAGTTTTAAATAGAAATGTGAAAATTTATTTAAAGTAAAAATCAAGCAGTTAAGTAGTAAATCTAACTATTGGAAACCCTGACCAAAACTGATATTAAGCACAAGTATTAATGAAAGAATGAAAATTTAGAATCGGCTAACTTCAGCCAACAATCAGATCCTAGTGTTGATTAAAATATAAATGTAAGCCAGTGAAATAATTGCTTATCCTCCCTTTCTTTCTTCCTCCCAAGCCACCATTTGCTATTTGGACTTTCATAGAATCCTAGGGCAGCAAAAAAAAAAAAAAAAAAAAAAAAAGAGAGAGAGAGAGAAAGAAAGAAAAGAAAAGCAGACCACAGTGGAGACTATAGCAGGGAGGGAACCATGCGTAACTTTGCCTATTATTAATTGGTGAAAAACTCCTTTCAAAGTAGAATATTTCTTCTCCTGACCATTTGAAATCACTTTATCAGATGCCAGTTTGATTCCTGCTAGGATATCAAATACTACAGGTATTTTAAACCTCCGTCTGTCCCCTAAGTACTTCCATTATCTTGTTGAATATGATGTACTATTCTTGTTTTTACAAACAGTGATAGCATAGCACCATTTATTTTCTCTGGGGGTATCATCCCTTTGAGAAATACAGCAAGTATAAGCATAGAGGGGGACAAGACACTGGACTGGGAGTTCTACTTTTTTAAAGACCAGAAGCACATTCTTGGAGTGCTCTTAACTTTCAGTCTTCATCTGGCAAGGGAGTGAGCTGCACTAGAAGATCATGGAGTGTCCTTAACTCCAGCGTGAAGTGATTCAAAACATAGTGCCACCTGGAGCATTCGGTGCCAGCACCGAGGCTGCTGTGTGCATCACATTTGTGCCGGGAATGGAGGCTGTACAGGCTGCTGGGAGTCAGCCCTGTTGAATCCCATGTATTTCTATATTATTTTGAAAAAACTTAAGAGTCTGCACTGAACTCTAATTGGCCTCTGGTCATTACTATGGTCCTCATTTAAAAACAAATGAGTTTGTAAATAGTAATGAAGTTGGGTGAGGTTAACTTCCAAAATTAACGTGGAAATACAGAGCAGGCAAGAAAATGATGTTCTTCCATTTAGCGAAGGAAGTTGATGGTGCAAGGAAAGAAGGAAAATCAGTAATTATGACTTGCATGAGCTCTAGCTTGTAGGTCTTCGGTTAGTTGTATGGCTAAATGACATCAGGTTTCCTGCAACTATATTTGCATACAGATCAATGTAGGATGGACATAAATTAAGAATGTGTTCAATTCAATATCAACATGTGTATCAAACTGGATGCAGGAAGCTTTGTGGAGGAGGAGATCACATCTTGTTCCCCAATGAGATCTGTAAAAAGCAGTGTTCTCACTGGTGTCCTCAGGATCATGAAAGTAATGGTGCCTGTTTCTGTCTCCCATAAATGTCCTTTAAGATTATATGGGAGGGAGAATCCATTCATCTTTTTTTTTTTTTTGATATCAGAAAATGGTTTAGTGACTGAATTGACATAAAATTTGACCTTTTCTCCTTGACTAACTCCTGACTTTCCATATCCTGTGTGATCTTCTTCAGTCTTGTTTCTCCCTGTCTTTTCTCATTTCTCCATATTCTAGGTAAAGTGTGGCTCTGTGAGTGAAGAAACCTCTAACAGGGTCTGGTTAATCCTAAAATTATACCTAGGAATTGACAAAGCCAAACAGAAACAAATGAGAGTCTTTCCATACAGCTGGGATTATAGGAAGCCAATAGAAGTTAAGTCAAGCTTTAGACAAGAAAGAAACTTGTATAGTACCCATTCCCTTGCCTGAAAGTCCGGGAAGGTACTGGAGCCCACATCTGTTCCAGACCTGCTGGTGCTGGAGTTTATCCTTCATCATTCTGCAGTGATGTCAACTGCTCTTCACATATCTTATTTTTCATGCCACATAACTAACGCCTTGTGAATTTCCAAGATCAAGTTCACAAAGGAGGAATCTCATTGGCAGCTAATAGCTATTACTCCTTATTCCAGCCTCTCATAAATTTCAGTCTAGCGCATGGTTGAAGTATACTGAGGGCAGGTGACTACCTGTGGGCCAGTCCAGTGAACACTGGGAAGGGAAGATGACTTGTGCCCTCTGCCTTGCCTTTCTAGGGCAGAACATGAGTGGGCCAGATTTGAATAGAAGGAGCTTTGGGGAGCCAAACTCTGTGGTCCTGGTGTGGCTATATGGTCTCTTTCCTTTGCTAGATAATCTTTCATCAACAATGTGGCACTGCCATTAAATGATGCTTTACTGTTCGGTACAATGCTTCTCTCATAGGAGGGAACAGCAGTGTGAACAGATCCGACCAGCATCCGTGGGGAGGCATAGCTGGGGAGGACATGAATATTTTGCAAACAAATCACTGTGCTTGATGTGATTTGAAAGTTGAACTAGAGGAATGGATGTGTGACATCTTTGAATTTCTCAAATAGTAACATAATTTAGAAAGATAAAAGTGTTTTAGTAACTGAAAAATAATGCATGCTCTCAAGGAAATGACAGTCTTCTCATTTTAAAAACAAATATCTGTCAGGGTGGCTTGACTTGAAGTCGATGCTGAATGAATAAATTTTACTTGTAAAAACTTTAATGAGATTTTGAGAAGGGCATAAAATTTAGGATTTTTTTTTTAAATACTGAAGTAAGAATCCTTGGATCTATAATTGGAAGTATAGTATAAGAAGGCTTCTGTGCTGGAGTGATGACCAGAAGGAAGGAATATGGACTAAGTTATCCTCAGGGGACTGAGCATGAGCCCTGGAATGAGGTAACAGGAGTCTCTGGTAGACCAAAGGCATTTTGGCTTTGGTTTACAAAACATTAGAAAAGCATAGTGAAGCCACTGGGAATGCCTGTGCATAGTTAAGGAGATGAAGAGTTTTATGCCATTGGTATCAGTGTCGAATAGTTGGTCTCCTAAAGAAGAGTGTCATTAAGTTCCCCAGAGGGAAACTGCCTAGAACAGGCTTACAGTCACACTCCCCTGTCCTCAGTAAATCAGTTTCTCTGCCCTAAATCAATTGCTATGCTTGGTCCCTGTGAAGTTGGGTATAACCTTGGGATAATTCTTGGCATGGAAAGCTACATGTCAACCAACAGTACTTCTCAGAGCAGATTAAGCTATTTTTTCTACTGCAGACCTAGAACTGTTCTGCTCCAATTTCTGATTTCTGCTTTTACTAGGCTTCTCTTAATGTCTGACCCTAGAACTTGGCATGAATGAGGATCTCTCGCGTAAGTCGCCTGAGATTTACATTGGGCAGGCTGTTTTAGAGCCAGGTCAAATCCCAAAGACAGATTTTCCTCTCTCAACTCCAGTTTCCAGAACTAAATTATTTTCAGATTTATTTCCTCCCTTCTCTAGGGTAGGGGCTACTCTGGTAATAGTTTGTAGGTGCTGAAAGCTCCCACCGAATAGTACCATGGACCCCTGGCAGGCGCATTCATTCCAGCCAGTGCCAGCCCCTCTCCCCCCACCATTTACTTACCTTTGGCATCTTTTGCTTTTTGAAGTATGCTCTGTGTTCAGCCTAGTAACTTTTCTACCCTAACTGTATATCAACAAGTTACACGTGTTAGAGCTAGTTAAGTAAGGGGTCCCTATCAAGGTGTAAAAGCAGTTATGTTACATGTATTTCACAGAGGTGACTTTTCTCACACTTTTACAATTTGTTTTCTAGACAACTGGGACTGGACCTGGTGCCTAGGAAAGAGTATGCAATGGTGGATCCAGAGGACATCAGCATTACTGAGCTTTACCGATTGGTGGGTACAAGAAACATTGATTCATAGCCTCACTGCTAATTTCCCAGTTTCCATGACACTCTTCATACCTGCTTGATTTTATAAGAACAAGATGTTCCAGGTTAAATTAGAATAGAATAAAGTGAATTGGGAGCTGAGGTTACCATGCCCCAGGTATAGACCAAGACACTTCCACTGTCTCAGAGTGACGTGGTATTCTCTACTGAGCTATCAAGTCCTGGGCACTGGAAAGTAAAATCGGTTAAGATGTTTTGCAAATCTTTGTACTTTTTGCCTCATGTAGTGAAATGCCTACAAGTCACACGTACCTGTGATTTTCTAACTACTAATGGTCTCTAGCCACTGTTCACAGTCACCTCACTGCCCTGTTGTGGTTAGAAACTCCCGCTGTGGCAAATGTCTCCTCCTTCATCTTCAACTCCTGACCCCAGTCTATTCCTAAGCATTAGATACCATTAATAACCAAAGATACTTGATTGTTTTACCCATCACAGCATCACCTACGACTTGAGTTTTGTTTTATTTATTATTTTCTGGTTTTCTGTGGGGTTAAAGTCTAGTATTTTGTATGTGGTATCTAGATTCTTGAGATTTGGTCTAGTCTGCTTTGAATCTAGCCTCGTATTCTTAGATACTTAAATACAGTGCATATAAGTTTGTAACATTAACTAAGCTGTCTTCACCCCTAAATCAGAGAGGAAGATGGATAAGAAGGACGTTACTATAGGCATCACTTTACTGTGATCTCCTTAGTACACTGATGTTCCTAGGAAGAATGCCCTTCAGAAATGCAGACTGCCATTTAGATAATCCTGACTCTTTTAGGGTAGCATCCAGTATACTGAGCACCCAGTACACTGAGATTAGTGGGGCATTCTTACCCAAAGCATTATCCATATCTGTAAACAATGAGTAAAACTCATCAGTAAGTCTGACAGGGCTTTGTTGGATTTTGAGAAGCTGGACACAGTATTTTTCAGTTTTTTTTTTAATTAACCTAGATTGTCTGTATGTCTTTATGCTGGAGGAGGAATACAAATCCTGTTTTTATAGAGGATCTCTGAGTGCCGTGCTGTCTGCGGCCTGCTGCATGCTAAGCAGAGTGTCTGGCACACAGCAGGACAGTTAAAGGTGAATGGCAGGAGGAGAGGAGGGAGTAACGAAACAATAGTGTTCCCTGTTAATGGCATCACTGCTTTATGAAATTGGTGGAGCTCATCTGTCAGTCTCATCTTCTGATACGACCTTGCCATCTATAGCTTATTTAACCCATTGAACATATTTCCTTTTTAAATTTCTGAATTTTGTTAAATTTCTAAATTTTAAGCTTCTCCTGCTTTCTATGTTATGAGCACAGTGATCTTGTCCAGTGATTTTGATTTAATAAGTAATGCTTTTTGCTTTCATTCATGATACTAGAAATAGACCACAGATTGGCTCCAAACAACTAGAGCAGGCTCTGTTGGCTCTGTGATCTTGCACTTACTATTTAATTTCTCTGAGCCTCAGTTTCTTCATCTTAACAAATGGGGAAATAATACTTCTCATGTCTGTTATGGTTAAATAAGAAACACATGTAAAATGCCTGTTGTTGACAGGTATGTGCAAAACACGTAAGCATTCAGTTAGTGTTCCTCCTTGTTTCATCTGAGTGAGAGAGGCAATAAGACAAGAATAATCGTTACCGTATATGTTAAGTCTTAAGTTTAAATTTGGGTGTTTTTAGTGAAGTAAATAATAGAACCTTAGGTGTGGTAGAAATTAATTCTTAACATGTGTAAGCTCTAGAAGCAGGAAATTCGGAGTCAAAGTTTCATGGGATGAACAGGGATAGCCGCTCTTATCTTTCTGGAAGAGTAGCACACTGCTTCCACCATCAAGTACACCTCAGAGTACAACATGGCTGCAAGAGTGGTAGCATCTGTGCTTCCGTCCCTCCAAAGGGCAGTTCCCAGGTTCAGCTGGGGATGGCACATATTTGATAAGCAACTAATAATGTCTGGCACAAATATATTTTATTTTCTCCAGGTCGATTTTCTATGTTTGCAATTTCACCTCTGTTCTTGTCAGTTAATATGACATATAGAGTGGCAAATTGATTTCACCTTCTTAGAACACTGTGGTTCATTGGTGATGACTGCTGGGCATGCAGATGGCAATAAGAATCTAGGCTTCATGACTGATTTACCATGTCTGCCATTGGTGGGACAGAAAAGAGCGGGTATTTTAGTGTTTTATAGCTCAGATTATAGTCCAAACTTATCATTTTTCAGATGATGAAAATAAAACAGTGTGATTTTACATGAAAACTTAATTTCTCCTCATTAGCAATTACATGTTACTATTTCTAAAGCAAAGACCCAAGAAAAACCCAGGGCTTATAAACTTCAGAAGGACATATTTAATCTTTCAATGCATCTTCTTTTTGAAGTTCCTCTTGTATCTTGGCCTTGCAATAGTCAGAGTTTCTGCAGCCCTAGGTTTCTTTCCTATGTAATATGACAGTGATGATTGTATTGATTTCACTGGGAAGAGTTGGGAGTTTCACCAATTTCTTGTTGTTTGGGAATTTATCATCACTTTCGGATCAGGGGCTAAAATGCTCCAACAGAGGATGTTTTACTTCTTTCTTATCAGAGTCATATTTGAAACATAAGCATTTGCATCTTTATAAAGTTGAATTTCATAAAGAGAAAAAGATGTCTTTGTTTAGGTATTTGCTAGCCGTGTTAGCGGATCTTTCACCTAATTATGCTCAGCTAAGCAGTAAAAGTGCTAAACCTCATAGTGTTAACATATGTCCACTTAGAGACTCTGGTGAAGTGCCAAAGGCCAGGTGTCAACCCTGCAATAAATAAAGGATGCTAATTAGCTGGATTTGGGCCTGCAGCATGTCTTTTCAGGAATCTTTTATGGTTTCACAATATCCTGTTGTCTCCTTGCTTTGTACTTCTTAGTGGGTTAGACTAGTGGTTCTGGCATGGAAAATAGTAGTTCTGCAAAGGCATGTCTTCCCCTGCCCCCCCCCCCCCCCCCCGTCCCCCACTCCCCCTAATCCTCTCACTCCTACTCCCTACTCCCCCCACCCCTGACCTAGGACTTTGACCAAAGACATTTTTTAGTTGTCACAACAGGGATGGGGGGTGGGGGGAGGCGGCCAGAGAAAGGTGCTAAACATCCTTCAAAGCCTAAGGCAGCCTCACAATGAAGATGTATTCAGCGAGAATTGTTAGTAGTACTGAGATTTGAGGGGCCCTGGTACAAAAAACTCATCTGCTAATGGATGAATTATCTGAGGATTGAAAATTTAAGTCAGTAAAATTAATCTTAGGGATGCATCTGTTTCCTAACCCAAGCTCTAGTTAAACTGTAAGCACGTGTAAAGTAGTTGGTAGGTACATTTGTAACCATTAATTATTTCCAGATAGATTTTTGCCTCTGTGTTGTAACTACCAAATTATAGCTCTTGAAGTGTGAACATGCCTTTTTAATTGTTATTGCAATAATATTTTCACAGAGATATTTTTAGCAGTTCCCTAAAGCAGTGAATTAGCAAGAGATAAGCAAATAGTTATAACCTACATAACTCAAATCTGTCCCAGGCCTGAAAGAATGGCAAGTGGGTGGAGGAAGAGGGGAGCTAGCATTGAGAGAGTATGTCAGACACCAGGCCTATGCTGTAAGTGCAGAGGGCACAACCGACAGGCTTATTCTAGTATCCATGCAAAGACCATTAGTTCTAAGGCAATTATTCAAAACATGCAGCAATACATTTTTCAGTTTGCTGTGATTTGCGGCTCTCTACATATGATCTTGATTAGGGAATCTCAACCCTCATTGCCCATTAGAATCACCTAGGGAGCTTTCAAAACTACCACTCTGTGCTCCCCCATCCCTTTGAAATTCTCATTTAATTGTTCTGGGATAGGACCTGGGCATAAGTATTTTCTGAAAGCTCTCTTGGTGGCTGTAAAATGCAACCAAGGTTGAGAACCACTGATCTCAATATATTGGATTCTTTGCATGAGTAAGGGAGCTAATTTTTTTCCATGAGTTCTTAAGTGAATGTTATGACTGATGCTGGAAACCTTGTACTTTTTGAAGTAAGAGCAGACAGCTCCTTGAAATCAGTTCTTTTCATGAGTTTGTGTCATACTTCTGTTTCTCCAGCCCTGGCCTTTGGTGAGCATTTATTTCTTCAGTATCTTGTGCTGTGTTATCCTTTTTCATGTACACATTGTTGAGCATCTAAAGGAACTCAGAGAGTAAGATACCATTTCTAGGGATAAAAAAAAGACTTCTTTGTGAAATAAATAAAAATGTACTTTTATGAATATATGATGCTTTTTTGCCATAGTAAAAAATTTTAAAACACCAAGTGAATCAACCTACATATAAAGCAAGGTGGATTTATGACATAGTTAGAATATTTTGTCCCAGGAACCTTTATCTAGTAAAATAGCCAAAGCATACCATAATGCTAGGACTCACTTTTTAAAAATTGCATTTTTCAGATTTACAGAGAATGCCCACTGTATCTATTGAGCACACAGTGATTACAGATGCATGTAGTTGATTACATTGTGTTAAACTTACTTTTCAAGTAGTTCAAAATAATAACTAAAAGCATGAAAACGTTCTGATGATTTTGTGCTGTTGTACTTACAACTGCAAATTGTAAAGATGATATTTGGCCTTAAAAAGTTATTTATTCAGTAATTATTGAGTTCTACTTAGAAGCTTAAAGAAATGGCTAATAAAGAAATGGGTCTATAAAAGTTAACCACCAACAAAGGATGTGGCTCTATTACCTTGAAGTTAAAAGCCTTGAATTATTTGAATTGTCCAGTGATTTGAAGCACATGGCAAGCCAGGTGTGGTAGCACACCCCAGTAACCCCAGCACTTGGGAGGATGAGGCAGCAGGATTGCGGCTAGTTTGAGACCAGCCTTGGCTACAAAGTGAGTTCAAGGCCAGCCTGAACTTTGTAGTGAAACCCTATCTCAAAAAGACAAAATAAAACAAAACAAAATGAAAACAGATGGCATCATTAGTAGTCTGTGACAGGAAAATTATAATCCTCCGCTTCCTGAGCACTACTCTGTTAACCCTCGTATTGTTTTTCCAATCTTCTTATCCTGAATCGTTGCCTCTCAGTGTGGTTTCAGCTGACTGGAGTGTGAACTGTTGATAGCTGGGCTAAGGGAAGAATGACAAGGAAAAATGAAAAACTTTTCAAACATTTTGACATTGTCGTGGATTTTTTTTCTGTATTTTATGACAGAAGTATCAGAGTATCAGAGTATCAGAGTATCTGGTTCTGAAGGGTTAGCGCAGGAACAACTTGGTCACTACTAGCAGTTTAGGGAAGTTATAATTCCTGGTCCCTCTGATTCTCAGCTGCAGTGTCACTTTTCCAGGAAGCCAGACCCAGATGGAAGTCAAAAGCCCTTTGCCAGATAGTATAGGTCTTCCCTCCATGATTGTGCGTGTGTGTGTGTGTGTGTGTGTGTTTATGTATGAGAGAGAGAGAGAGAGAGAAATTTCGCTGATGTCTGCTCCCCCTAATAGATACCATAGGCTGTCTCCATATTTTCTCACTATTGCATTTCCAGTGCTTGGCACGCAGTAGATGCTTAACAGATGTTGAATGAGTTGAATAAGCAACTTTATCCGTGTTACTCTAACCCTTGGATCCGTAGGTGATTCCTCTCCTTGAACACAGGAGAGTTCTCTTTCCTGACTCCCTGCCCACGTTTAGCCCCACCAGCTGCATTGAGGAGGAGATGAGTGAGGTGGTCACAGATGCTTATTTCTATCTTTAGATGCCTTCATGGTGTTCCTGGGTCTGTCTCCACGTACTACCACAGCAAATTAGATATATTTTCTTGCTTTAGTGAATATCATTTGTTATAGCCTGTCCCTCCCCGCAAAAAAACCACAAGACTGTGACAGTTTTGCAATTTAGTGTAATGTTCAAAAGAACTTTAATTATGAGAAATACTAAGTCATAACTACATTGTTCAGCTATCATCAGTGGAACAATCAGTAAAATAGTCTTTTTTTTTTTTTTAAATGACAAATTTATTCTCATCCTGGGAATTGACAGAAAGCAACAGAACTATTTTAGCTCCCTACTTCCTAAATCTACTTCATGAATTGGTAGCATTTTAGCAAAATCTTAAATATTTCTTGATGATCTACTAATTTCATAGTTTTTATTATAGATGCTAGAAGGAAAACTGAGCTTTGGATCCCGAGTCTGTAGTGAACAGCTTTTAGTGGAGGACATCATGCTCACGCCATAGCTACTCACCTTGTCAGGTGCAGTGTTCCCTTCAATTCGTGCTGATTGTGTTGCTGCTTGGGGTGGGGGTGTCGTGCAGATGGAGCATCGACATCGGAAGAAAGACACCCCGGTGCAGGCCAGCAGTCACCACCTCTTCGTCCAGATGAAGAGCCTCATGTGCTCCAACCTGGGAGAGGAGCTGGAGGTCATCTTCTCACTCTTTGACAGCAAAGAGAACAGGCCTATCAGGTGAGTGACTGCACCTCGAGGTAGGAGTTGACTTTCTCAGTGTTAGAAGGTGGACGTTTGTGATTGGGCCGCTTTAAGATACGTGATCTTGTGCACATCTATGTTGTTAGACTCCCATCTCCTCCTTTGTAGAAGTCTTCAGAGTTTCTAAGGTGCCTGCCCTCTAGATGTTTCCATGAAGGTTAGATAGGTTGATGTGTGTCAAGTTCTTTGAAAAGGGCTATAGAATTGTTATAAACAACATTAAATACAGGTATGGCCTTGGTGTTAAGTCTTCTATTCATGTTAGTTACATGTATTACATATTGCAAAGAAGACATAGATTTTCTGCACTCTGAAGTTTGTTGGCCTTTTAAGGTCAGCACTTTGTATCTTTCAGTTTTTCATAGGTTATTACATTATTTGTAACCTGTCAGGATCAACTGGTACCAAGGGATAACTAAATATTTGAAAATCTTTCCAGTAAAATTTTAGAAGTGTGAAGTGATGAAAAGTTTTCACATACTTCTTTTTCTTTTTCAATGCTATGAGTTTTGCCTGTTACAATTTTCCTTTGGCAGGCTTTTACTTTTAATATTAATTATTTTTCTATGCTGTGGATTGAACCCAGGGCCCCTCACATGCAAGGAAAGTGCTCTACCACTGAGTCACATCCCCAGCCCCAGTTTTAATTTTTAGGAAAAAACTTAACGGTGGATATATATTTAGTTGTTGTCTAATTCAATTCCTGTTAAAACTTTTTAATTTAAAAAAATAGTGTTTATCTTAGAGTGGAACACAAAGTATGCCATCTTTTAAATTAAAAAATTTACATTTCAATTGAGAATTAAACTTGAATCTCTGAAATCACACTTAATGACCCAACTGTACCATAGTTTTTAAAGATATATACTTATAAAATACATACTAATAATGTTTTAAAGTGCTGAACCATATATGATGTTTCATAAAGTAATTTCAGAATATTGCTTTTCTGATACATTATTTCTTTTAAGAAATATATTAATTTTTTTAATGAATGCATTTATAACCATAAAATACTTGGTGAATTAGTTTATGTGTTAGTCACAGCTACAAGTGTACTCTTCAGTTTCTTGACAGTGATCTGAGCCTATAGAATTTAAGATAGTATTTTTTATGCAGTAAATAAAGAATATATGAGGAATTGAAATAACAGTGGTAATCCAGTTTCAAATCTGTGTTACACACTTCACTGTTGAAGGAAATGAATCAGTGTATTAAGTGACCTTTTCCCCTTTACAAATCAGCACCATTTAAAAGGGAAATTTAAAGGCTAGAAAACTGACCCAAGATATAGCTCAGCACTTACTTTAAAAATGTGAAAGATTGGGGGCTGGGGATTTAGCTCAGCGGCATAAGCACCTGCCTTGCAAGCAGACAGTCGTGAGTTCGATCCCTGGTACCGATAAAAAGGAAAAAGACAAAAAAAAAAATGTGAAAGATTATTTAGACATAATACCTGCTTATCTGTTGAAGTGTTTCTGGTTCATGAGTAGTTTAAGAAAATCTTTGTAACATTTTATATGTAATATATGTTCTGTTTAATGTATTTAACTAGCTGTATGGAATATAAAAGGGAGAAAGGGTGATAGTCTTGGTCATTACTGTTGGTCTCTGATGAAATGTGAATTTCCCTTGGCCACTAATGCTTTTTTTGCATCAACATAAAATTATATGGATTCATGATTCATGTTAGTTTTTGAATTTTATCTTATTATAGACATTTTAAAGTTTTCTAAAAAGGCCTTTTTTAAAGTATTGAACCCTAGAATTTCCTTGTTTTATTTCTTTTTACTTGGTGAAAGTAAAGAGATAATCTAGGTGAAGAACCCTCAAAATAATGTCCTTATATAAGGTACGCAGAGTTGAGCTAGCAGCCCGGCATGTTTCCTAGTCTGTGACGTGCTTGGCTGCTGCACTGTCTGTCTCTCCCTTCCTTCCTCCTCACCTCTGTGGCCCTCCTGACCCCTAGGAGCCCTAGGAGCAATCCGGACCTGAATGCCTCTTTGCCTTCTACTCTCTGATGTTGGCCTTCTGTACTTCTCACCTGTCAGGCTCACAGTCACTCTAAAGGTTCTGGCAAAAGAATGAATAAGAACCACAACTTATGCTCACTGGGTATTTGGAACAATCTCAGAATTATTTTATTGACATTTCTGAAGGCTCAGACAACATATTTGTTCTTTTGGGGAGTGTTTAAAACCTTGTGAAGAGTGAGTGTGGCTCACATTCCAGCCACGTGGGGCAGTGTCCCTGGTTAAGAGGCTGAGGGATCTTGTTTTTTTAGTCCGTATTTGCAGTCTATAATGATTACGTTTTGCTGTGCGGGAGTTTAATTCTTTTTTCATATACTTCATCTCCCAACCTCCCTGCTCCGTCCAACCCCTTGCCATTTGCAAAAACTCTTATTTCCATTTTATCTTTCAATTCTTTTTTCATGACCTTCCCTCCCATTTTATCTCTTACAACCCTTCCCATTTGAAAAAGCTCTCTGGACTTGCTACTGTCTTTTATTTTGCTATTTATATTTTCGGTTTCTCACATAAGAGAAATGATGTGAAATTTAAACTTGTGTATCTGATTTATTTCAAGCATCATATGGTCTCGAAGTAAGATGCCAGGATCTTAAAACTGGACTTGGTTCCTGTTTCTGGAGTGGACTGGACACAGTGCCCTGGCTTCTGTAGTACTTACCTCTGTCTGTCTTCATCATGAATCTGCTAACAGTTCTTGTCTCTTCATTCCTCCTGATACAGCTAAAGCATATGGAGTTCGCCTCATCTCAGAAAAATATTATAAATACATCATAATTTTAGGACTTTTCTGTTTCTTCCTATATGGATGTTTTAAAATCTTTTGTGTGTTTCTTTTGAACTTTTATTTTAGAAAATGTTAGATTTTGAATGAAGAGACTAATGTAAGGAGCCCTCAGGTCCGCACCCCTAAAACTTGCACAGTTACCAGCTCAGGACTGATCCTGTCTTAAGTGTGTCCCTTTTCAGTCTTCCTTTTTGTTTGCAAATTGTGGCAAATCCCAGACTTGTTAGTATTTTCTCTTTTTGTGTCCTTTTGTTGTTTGTTTGCTTTTGAAACAGGGTCTCACTATGTAGTCCAGGCTGGCCTGGACCTCGTCTCTGTCCTTCTGCCTCAGCCTCTTTCAATGCTGAGATTACAGGTCTGCACCTCCAATTGCAGCTCCAAGTCCAATGCTAAGCAATAAAAGTTAGTGGAAACAGATGGCATAGTTAAAAGAAGGCTTTTGTTATAACTATAATTTATATGAAACAAAATACAATGTAAAAACGATATTTATGGCAATGCCTTGACCATTAATGACAGGAAGTTACCTTGTCCCAGTGTAGGCAGAGAGACCAACATGGCAGGCCTGTGGAGGAATGCAAAGGAAAGGGGGGCGGGTGTGTGACCAAAAAAACCAAACGAATAGAAACCTCTCCTCAGAGAAGCAGGCAGCCAGCATTTGTGGAACACTAATCTTCTGAATTCCAAGGGCTGTGAGTTCTTAGGACGTAAGAAGCCAGGTCCCAGGCAGGGTGGGTCACAGTGCCTGATCTTATGCAAGCACGAAAGGCGAAACAGGGCTCAGAGCCTGCTCTCTTAACCCCAACTCTGAGGGCCTCATCACAATTACTCTCTAAGTGCTTTAGTATTTGTCTGAAAATTTCGCACGGTTTTATTGGCCAGAATGAGAACTCAAAGAAATGGCCACAAATTACTGATAAGGACAATATTGAAACAAGTAAAAGGCCTCAGAAATATTGTAATCCATGTTATAGAAATTAGTATTTGACGTTAAGTCCTTCTCAAACCACTTTAAGCAAAGTAGCATCAGCTTTTACTATATCCAGTGATCAGAAGTCTTAGATTTAGTGCTTAGATTTAGTAAGTATTGATTGCAAAAGGAACCATTACGTGAAAATACCCATCTTCTAGATCACTCAGTATAATGGGAAGCACATATTATTTCCCCAGTATCAGAACACATTTTTCAGAAAATAAACGTCCTTAAAAGAAAAAGAGCAAACTTAAATCACTGAACCTTGGCCATATTTAGAAAGCCTGTTAATTTTATCTAAAAATGATTACTGAATCTGCTAGACTATTAGGCTGCCGTTGCATATTGTGGACCCTGTGGCAGAAAGTGTCAGGACGGATGCAAGCACAGCTGCTAGTGTCCCGATGGTGTACGCCTAGCCCACGCTTCTGTCCTGGTGTGGCTTCCTCACCTTTTTGTGTACCAATAACAGCACAGAGGACCCTCGGTGCTGCATGTTGGACTCAACAGTCTTCAGAAACAACACATTTTTTTTTAATCTCTTTGAGGTTTCTATACTCTCGATTCAGTTTATCCCAATGAAGGACAGTTATTAGCTGAAAAAATGAGTTTACCAAGAGCAGAATGTATTTGGAGAGTATTTTTGTGACTAAAAGTTTGATTTACCCAGTTCAGCTGGGTAAGGCAGAGACTCAGTTCTTGGTATCATCTATAATTGTATTATATTCATTTAGTAAACACTTGTATAATGGGTGCCATATGCCAAACTCTGTTTTAAGCTGTTTTAAAAATACTAACTTACATAGCTCTTATAACTGCCCTATCAAGTAGATGCTACAAATATTCCCATTTTAATAGCTGGGGAAACCAAGGCACACAGACGAATACCTAGCCCCGTGTAATATAGCTGAGATGTAGTGGGAAGTTGGTATTTAACGAGGCAGTCTATTGATGAATCAGTGTTCTCAGTTACTACCTACTACCATTCTTATTATCTGTAATGCCGGTAACATGATTTATTCTTTCCCAATCAATTTTTACTCACCAGTAAAGGAACTCTATAGGGTTTATTCTAAGAAACTTGAGTAGGAGAAATGTGAACTCATTAAGAATTGCAGGAAGGATACAGTATTGAGGAGGAGGGCACACCTAGAGAGAAGGAAATCACTGATGATTGAAGGTCCCT